TAGCTTCATTTTATTTTTAATTTCCACTTATACTTTACTTTTCTTATTTTTGTTTTCTATTTAAACTGTATGCTAATTTATTTTTATTTCTATTGTTGTTGCAAACGATAATATTTAAGACGAACTCGAGGTTCGCCGGACGAGGGTTAATGTACTCTTACAGGATTCTAATCTAAATTTTCAAGAAACTGAAAGTGTGGCCGACTATAAAACAGCGTTTTATAGCAACTTTTATAGGCTGTTAACGGAATGTCAATATAAAGTGTAGTATAAAGCATGAAGATGCCTTTACAATGTCCCCGCATTTTATATTTACTACCCAGTGATAATTACAGCACAAAATATGTGGCTAATTATAAAAGTGTCCTGATCCATTTTTGCAATTGTAAAAATACATTTAGCTAGATCTCAATAATGATAATTCCAGAAAGTTATATCAATTCAATATAGAATTAAAAATAAATCTTTCTTAAATTTTAATTACATTTTTATACACACTTATACACACTTATTTACCGAAAAATACCAGAAAATTAAATAAAAAATTTTCTTCAAGAAAACTCACCGTTAAAAACAATTAATTTTAAGATAATGCCATTAACTGTTATATTATGTTATTTAATGGAGGAGCACATGTTTAATCTCTGTAGTAATGCTCTCGTTATGGTAGAGACAAATTGCGTCAAGCGAAAGTGTCGAGGCTGCCGGCCAATCAATAAAAGTTCGTTACAGTGACGCGCGAAATCTTCGTCGGGATTTTAAAATTGCGTATAAGCGTGCAGGTGAACGTGCAATGCGCCGTCCTTGATCCACAGTAGGTGGGTATGTCGGTGCATGTACCTGGGAAAATAAAGGATGCATGTGCAACCATCACGTTGAGAAATAGCCACCGAGCGTACAGTATATCCAAGTCCGTGGGATGATTCAATGATTCCACTCGAACAACGAGAGAAATCGTTTTCGCGGATGGAGAAGTAAGTTACGCGACCAGGCCACCGTGTTTTTCACGCTTCCCGTTTTATTCATCTGCGACGTCCAAGGAGAAATGGAGTGAGTACAAAACAGTTCGCATAAAACATCCGCAGGAAGTATTCAGATTGTCTGGTGTTGGAATAAAAAGGGCGTAGCGAGATACAGCTGAACTGTATAAGCATAAGTGTAAACTGAATTAATCTGTATAGGCTGTAACGTCTACAAACTGAATAATTTATTTTCTATTTTCAATCTGTATTCGTTTGGAAAATAGTTTTTCAATTAATTTGAATGGTATATTCTTATTTTGTAACAATTTTTGTGATAATTTTTTCAAATATTTTTATTGCTTGCGGAAGTATTACTTAGCAGTTTTTGAATAACATTAGTTGGAATGATTTGTTATAGTGCAGATTTTTATTTGGTATTTTAAATAAAGTGAAGTAACAAAGAAGTTTGTGTAGGTGTTATATTAGAATTTCCATTAAGATTTAAAGCAAAATAAAAAGTTTACTAAAATTTACTAAAATAATGAATTAAGTATATTGAATTTCAGAAAATCGTATGTCTTGCAAAGACTTAATAATGTCCAATAATCAGAGCTATAAATGAAATGAAATGTGTTATGGAATTCTTAGCCGCTAAAATATTTTTAGGATTTGCTTAAATATTTTTTCGTAGCGTATAGTAGAAACATTATTTATTTTACATTAGGAAAATATTTTATACTTACTCATTTTAAAATTTAGTATAATGATCGAATAATTTGAACACTTTTAAATCAACAAAATTCCAACATAAGTCTGTACAAACAAATAGAATGCCTTATTACTATGTAGTAATAAGTCGATCAAATTTAAGTCGAAAAGGGAACGCTGTGGACAGAAAAAAGGAGAAAAATCAATCCAAAAAGGCGAACTGTGTTGCAGGAAGTATCGAGGCCCCTTAACGGGACCCTCCCATTGGCCATCTACCATAAATTATACATTATATCGCATAAGAGTCGGCCCACGTGGCGGCGAATCGTAGATTGCAGTGATGCATTTTTTTCGTCAGTATAATAATTTATAATCCGCTGTGACGCAATCGAATATCGATTCCTGGCTATGCAAATGTTTAATTGTATTTCCAAATTATTGTTTTAATTCGTGTTACGACAATTCAACCGTTAAGAAATATATTAGAAATTCTTTAACAGTCGCTGTTGTATAAACCATTGTGTCGACAATTTCAAACAATTAAATTGTTTTAAAGAACTGACACAAAACTCAATTTATTTAAAAATTTGAAACATTTTTAGAATCTCTATACAGAAACAGTGTAAAACGAATACGCTAGTATATTACTTTTTATGATAAAAAATACGTTAAAATTATTTTTAAGATATAATATTATGATTATCAAGTTAAATTCGTAAGTCCGTAATGATTCATCTTCAAATTCGCTCAAAATTACCAATGACAATATTACTAGAAAACTACTAATTATTATTTTTGTTTATTTTATTAGAACCTATTAAAAATGAAAAAGTCACAGGTATATTAATGAAGAAAGAAATATATAATCGAAGGCGTTGGTAGTTAATTATGAAACCGATAACACGATCATGAAATTAACTTCTTCTTACTTTGAAAAACCAGATATTAACATTTACGACGCTAATTGCGGCGATAAACTGAAGTACTCTATTGAAGACTTCATTGAGCTACGATCTCAATTTGAGCAAGTTATGTACTTCGTCCTTCGTTAGGAAGACATAAATATCTTCGTTATAGATTATTACGCGGCGTGGCACTGAAGTGAACTTATCTCCGCCCATAACATCTGGTGCAACAATCAACTTTGTTGTTCAGCCAGTTATTATAGCTCGTCAGTGATAAAGAGATAGAAGTGATCATATTTCCGTCCATCATCCATTATGTCTAACCTTGTTAACGCTTATATTTGTTTCGCTGTAAAGCTAATTTATCGACAAATTCTTACGATACCTAGATCTATTTTATAGTACGCTATGGCGTAACACTAAGACAGAATATAGTGCTTAATAAAAGTAGAGAATATTTGTTAACAGGTTTCTAACAAATTCTTTGCTCTCTAGCGAAATATCCTTTCGTATAATAATAGATTTATGGTAATGAACACACTTAGAATCATCATAAAGAGGTACCTACCATCGCTGGGAATTATAAAAATATCTTATTAAATAAAAGAATAACATGTTATAATTATTCAAATTTGAACCATTTCTTGAAAAATTCATTTTTCTACCTAATAAACCTGCGAAGATCTTTATGATATACTCTATCACAAAATGCTGGATAATATTGAAAAATTGATAAACAAATGTGAAATATAAAATATGAAATGTAATGATAATCAAAAATCGAATGTATACAGAAAATTATAATCTGGAAGTTATATGTCACAGTACAGCATAATAAGTATTATCGCGACAATCCTATTGTCGATAATTCTAAAGACTTGAACTCACTAGGATACTACCAGAATAATAATGAAAACTGTTGCAGTGAGGTGAGCGAGCGAAAATCGAGTCGGTTATATTGTTAGTTACGCGATTATAATAAGAAAATCGTACCGGTCCGAAGAGACCTGAAGGGTTCCCCGATAACGGTGTAGCATCGTGGTACACGATTTACCGATAGATCAGAATGGTTGCAATAAATTTTTCGAATGCGTCCGTAGTCTTCGTTAGGAGTAATTTATGTACCGTTTAGAGAACGACTTCCACGTAGGAGTATATAACCAGCACGTCCTCGGAACACTATGCGCGAAACTTTTGCATTGGGAATGCAGCTCGTAAAACCGTTGCTGAATTCTGCAAGAACGATTCTGTAAAATTGCGTGCATCAAGCCGGCACTATTTGTCAGACCCATTACATCGTAAACTCTATTATCACGAAGTTGCTACCACGATTATACTGTGATCAGATACAAGAACTTTCGGTTAGGCAAACGGGGCGTGTTTCGAGTTTTTTTTATAATTTATAATCTTAGATTCCTTGAGATAATTGTGATGATGCTTCTATTGAAAAGGTAATTCGAAATTAGGCGTTGAGCCTTGAAAATAAATATGGAGGATTAAACAATTTATAAGAATTTGTATATTTCGGAGAATTTTTTTTAATAATGTCTTTGTTAAAGTCGAAGTGATTTCTCAGTACCAATTAAAAGATATAAAAGAAAGTAAAAATTCTAAAGGAAACAAATAATGTACTTTTATTGTTCTGTAATCAGTGAGATTAAGAAGCATCCCCTATTCATACTGATAATATATAAGGATAAGAGTGTAGCATTATCGTAAGGAAACCAACATTGACAGGCGAGAAATACTGTGCTACAAAAATGTTAAAAAACAATTCTTTAAACTTATAATAACAATTAATACATCAAATCTTTAAATTTTATAAAAATGTGTTTGCCTGAAGACATTCTTCCAAAACATTGAGCATGTATTCCAATTATAAATTTTTATTGAAATGTGTTACATGTTGTTTACCTCTTGCATGATTTAGTTAAAAATTTTCAATAATTAATTTAAGAAGCAAAAATTATTGCCAACATTACGCGGTATTCCTAGGTGGTCATCTAAACCAAGTACTAACCGCGCCCATTGTCGTTTAACTTCGGTGATCGAATTAGAACCGGTACATTCGGACGAAGTATGAACGGTGACAAGAATTTGCGAGCAACAAATGAAATGACATGTTCTCAAAGTTTATATAAATTAAAATCTGTTATATTGCCTAGAAAAATATAATACTAATTCTGTATATATAACATAATTGGATCACTATCATGGACTTAATTTGTTTCCATTTTTCCAAAGAAAACAATAATGGATTCGTAATATATGAATCAATAAAATTAAATTATAGTACAAGAAATAATGAATCAATTATCATTACCTTGTATAATATTATTAACGTGTGGTATTGAAACGTTTCTGATAGTTGTGATGGAAAATGAAGCAATATTTCTTTCAGCTTTTAGAATAGAACTGTCTTATTGGTAACAAATCTTTATCGTCAATTGTGTATAATACAGTTTAACACAATACAATATTTATTGGAATGTAAGTATCGGGTTGTATGACGGTTACCTGTAATTCATTTGCTGATTTACTGCAGCAGTATCATTCATTACACTCTCTCTTAGTTATGAGGTGAACAAGAACATTCGATTTAGCTGAATATATCTCTGTCATATCAAATTCTCCGAGTTTCTCAACAACACGTGATTAACTAGATAAATAATTTACATTTATAAAATACTATCATGTTTCCGACACATTTCTCTTGTTATGTGGAAACGTGGGAGGAATTTCTTAGTCGTCATGCGTACCACTCGAGAAAGATATTATCATATTCTTCTTGTTCATTGTTGCACACATTTGAGAATCTGTAACATATTGTAACAGTAAGTAAAACCAGGTTTAAAAATAAATATTGATATCTTCGTATTATTTAAAAAAATTTAGATTTCAAATTATCCTTCATATGATGTTAAATATGCCAAACAGTAATTATTTATTTTTTAAATAAGATAACAGCATAATTAAGATTCAGTATCACTGAGAATTTTTTTAGCGTAACAAAAGTGATTTGGATATTATAAAACAATGCTGAAAGTTAACAAAATATTACTATATATTTTTTCAAAAATGTAATTTAGAAACAATAAATATTAAAATATAGTAAATTAGTTAAGATTATAAATTTATACCTTCTGCAGAACATTTCCGCGAGACATAATTTCGTACTTTTCCAAACCATCCGTTATTTAATCTTTCTCGAAATTTTGGAGTAGTAAATGTATATAGCAAAGGGTTAATAGCACTATTAACTGGAAGAATGAAAACCACTACCCAAGCATGAAGATCCGCTAAACATAAACAATTTTTATTATCAAAACATGTTGAGTGTTTGTTTACAGATTGCTGCTAAATCATTGTAGTAATGATTGCAATAAATTACTATTAAGAGTAATTTTAACATGCTTTTTCCAGAAATACATGTATTTTTTTTCTAAAAATGGCATGTTTTCTAAAATTGAAGTATTGAAAAACTGAATTAATTGAACATTTAATCCTGATTACATACCTGGAACAGGATACCTCATCATAGCTCTAATTTTGAGAATGATAATCGGCGCCCAGCAAGCGGCGTCTGTTAAAACAATCAGGAAGAACCTTAAAGCAAATTCAGAATCTCCGACAGACAATGAACACGCGTGTCTCGTTTTCCAAATACTTATAAACATTCCTGCATACACATAACCGATCGTGATCAATCTGTAAAATATAGTAAAGAAAACACTACAAATTTACCGATCATTCAAAATGAAATGGAAAAAGTCAATTCTTTTTTACCCAGTAAAATTCAATCCTAAGAAAATGAAAGCTGAGTATTCCCATCCAATTGCGTAAGGGTCGTCGATGTGCAAGGGGAAACACATTCCATTGACTCCATAAAACTTTGTGCTGCTTCGCCAATGAATCACTTCAAAACAAAATATACATTATGCTAATAAAAAATAAAAGATAAAAAAACTTAGAAATTTCGAAATGTATAGCTATGTGCCTATATATTTCTTTATTTTTAATACAAATTACATATTCAAGAAGCCGATATAATGCCGATGTAGAAAATTGAACAACAATTAATTTAATTAATATACCTATCCAATTAATTATCGTCTACTTCTACATCCTTCAAAATCTATAAACAGAAACATTCACAGATTCCGTTTCATAAAATAAACCACTCAAAACTTAAGACTTCCAAACATGTTATATTCAAGGCTAACACTTTTGAATCATTGTAATCGAGCTTCGAGCAATAAAACGCGAGGCGTCATGTTTAATTGATTCGGAAAAAGGCAGAAATAAGATAATGATGTCAAGCGCGTATTATGTTATCATAACCGGCGGGTTAACAAGCAGCCGGACATCTTGACAGGTTATTACATATTATCAGGGATCACGCAGCAGTGCTTCGCGAACGAATAAGAAGTATTAATGACGAACCTGGTACGAGAGCCAGAGTAACTCCGATGATCCATGTGACGATCATCGTTGCGGATGCTGCTTGCGGTGTCATGGTACGGTGACCTTTCAGTGGTGCCACGATTAGCATATATCGCTCCAGCGACATGAATGACAGGATCAATACTGAAACCTTGATAGATCGTTTCTACTTCAATACATTAATGAGGTAACAGATCTCCTGAGTAAGTCGATCCTTCGGTTCACAGGAATCGTTTAAAGCTAGTCAGTGCATCAAATCATTTTCGCAATTTTAAAAATCCAGAAACTAATCCATAATACCTTAACAACCGTAGCTTGAATAGTAAAATTTATCGGTGTCCAGGTACTGTTGCTTTCTCAACTTTTATTTGCTATTAGTATAGATACTTAGATACTAATAAAACTACCACTATTAAAATTACAAAAGATTATTCATTTGATTTCATTAATATTCTTTGACAAACATAACTATTTTAATTTAGACTATATATTTTTCGTCATGAATAATAATAATGTAATATTTGTTATTTATAGCACTTTTGAAACGTTACGCTGGAAATCATTTTGAAACTAACGAAATGATTTATCATTAATCTCTTCGATTTTTTAAGATTTTTTTGGGTCTTTTCCAGAGTTCTTTAGATTTACAGATTATGAACTTATTAAGGCGTTAAAAATGGAATAATATGTCGAAACATACCTCCAAAGATGTCATTGCCAGAATTCCCAGACAAGTGCAGAACCAGGATGACATCCAGGAACTGGCCACCCGATTATAATTGTCGCGAAATATCACATCTGCCACAGCAATTATGAACAGATAGATTCCCATCAGCGTGTCGGAGACTGTAAAAGGATTATGTGACTTCCATACCACGCCCATACCACTCAGTGATTTATGATCGACGATATTAGAGCCGAATATGGCCGATCAATCGTATTTACAACGTGGAACGTTTACAACGCGCGATTTTTTATGATAATACCCCTGGTCCATTTTGCATCTACTTATGCATCACACTCTACAAGCAGAAGAATGTATTGAGCATTTGCGAAAGATCTTGACACCATCTTTGTTAAAGATCAATCACGTAATTTCGATCATTATTCACGATTCTCTCTTAAGCCCTCGTGGTATTTACGTGTGAAACTTGTTAATCCTTGAGGAACTATTGAATCTATTATTATAAAACCAATAGAAAAGCACATATTACACGATTTTACAATATATTATAAATATAATGATAAAACCATATACGGAGGACATAGAAGTTGCTTCCAAAATTTCAAATTCAATTTGTTTGCATTAATTAATTACAATTTTTTATTTAATTAGTAGTTGAATTTTACCCATATATTTATTTGAAATAATATGTCCTATTACATTTATGTTTTGAATAACTGAATTATTCTACTGGTACTTGTGCTGTTAAAAACGAACCATAATTAGTTACTTTTCATTTAAAATAAATACAGATATTATTTTTTAAATTCACTCATTACGAATTATTCTTTCTAATTAATAAGTTACCGATACTGAGTACAAAGAAAATAAATAAATTTCAAGATATATTATGACTTATTTATGACTAACCAGCTAGATTTCTGATGATGATAGTCAGTACTTGATTCTCGTCCTTGGCAGTGAATCTTCCCCAAAGAACGAGCACATTCCCCATACAAGTTACACACGATATCACCCACACTGCTGCTCGCAGTAAAGTTTTATCGAGCAAATGAGACAGCGATGAGACGCCTGAATAAAGAATATGTCATCCTTCAGTTAAAACTTTAATATATGCGTATCGGTCACGTTAAGTTCCATTACTTAACAAGAAGCAGTATTTCTTAAAAATGTTTAAAATATCAAATGAATAAACAAAGCTGAAAATTGGGAAGTATTTATTTTAAGTAAGTCATAATTATTTGATGATACGCAAACTGCAATAAGAAAATGCTAAGTTTCGTATCAAAATAGAAGACCTCAAAAAAATTTAACAGGAATGCGAGTAAAACATGCAATGAAATATTTAATTACGTAAAATTTCAAATGAAAATTTTCTTTAAATTCAATAATTCTTTTACCGTCGCTAGAAGGTCGACATCTTTGTGCCTTCGGTGCATAAGTCGCACAATAGTGAAATTTCTTGAAATATCTAATAACATATTAATTGAAAATTATATAATCACAAAGAAAATAAATTTTTTTCATTCATACGAATGTGAGAAAATTACATTTCGTAGATACAATCTAAGTAATTTCTTTCAAATGTAAGCGATAGGTCTGGTAAAGAACGTCTGGATCTACTTACACATCACCCAGCTGCTGAAACACATCGAACGCGTTTTTCTCCAACGAATCCAAATTTATACCCTCTAAGTCGCTGAAATATACAACAATTAAAACTGTTGCGATCCGTTTAAATAATGTTATACTATTGGAAATTATATTCATACGTTTGAATTTCCAATAAACATGAATTATTGAAATTAGTAATGATATAAATTCTTTCATTATTGAGATTTTGTAATTTCTATAAAAGCGTGATAAATAATAGAACATATTTAACAATATTTTATGACGAAAAATATTTCGTAATTAATTGTTTCTACAAAAAATAAATCCATAAATTGTTATCGGTCGTCAAAACTTCCAGCGTTCCATAAATTGCATAAACATTCATGAATAATTTGTAGTTTAAAAACATTACGTATTTAAAGCCTCTGACGGAAACAAAACAACAGCTCATACGTATGTAAAGAGGTACAAACAATATGCATACAACTCACAGAGAACGTAGTTTCGTTAACGGTCTTAACACTGCCATCTGCAAATTGTGGAGATGGTTGTAACCCAACTCTCTGTAATAAAATTATTGTATATGCATATTAAACTATCTGAAATACACAAATGTAACAATGTATAGAAATATGGCCACGTTTCTGCTATTAATATAAAATAATGTACGTTCAAACTTTAGATCAGTGTAATTTATTCTATTATTTCAAAGTTAGTAGAAGAATAATAATTTTTCTTCTGTAAATGTAATTAAAAACATTGTATACTTACATTTCTTAATCATAACACTGCTGTTATTAACAATCATCATTATCGTTATTATTGATATTATTACTAATCTCTCTAGATTAAAGCAATTTTAATCATTTTTACACTTAGAATAGATGGTTTATTCCATAAAAATGAAATAATTTGTTATCCCGCGCGTAAAAATGTAAATATAGAGGATTATACTCGTTTATAGCGTTGGAATACCAAATAATCCTAGAAATTGCTTTATATAACTCTAATAGTACGCGGACAGTCGCAGAGCTGCTTATTCTTGTACGTGACGCACGAATATATAAAAGTTTTAACGTCGGCCATACGTGACATTCCTCTGGTTTGGACTTCTAACGGCGTGTTCGACGATAAATGTCGGGTAAATACATTGCAAGCACGCGCAGGTTAAGACGTGTTTCGTTACAATTTATGCGGATGTCCTGGTGGCACGTGTACTTACAGCCTCGTTAAATTTTTCAACGGCCGGAACACATTCGTCGGGACGCTCGTGATTTCATTAAACGCCAAATTGCTGCAAGAAACATTTGCTCCTGTGATCTCGTGACACGCGGTTAATTTAATTTCGTAAAGATGGCACGCGAACTAATGTGTTAAAGTAATACAAAGCACGCATAGGAATTATAGTAGCTCACAGTTCTTCCAGTTGCTCCAAATTTCGGAACGTGTCTTCCTTGATCGTCTTTATGACACTTTTTTGCATGCTTCTGCGAATGGTAATTTCATTCAGTTTTTGCTGGCTGCCGACCTTCCGTTTTCGACTTCCAACGTTTACTTACGTACGTACAATAATGTTAATGCTGGACATCCGTCGAAAAGCGAGCTCGGTATTGTTTCGAATTTATTCTCGTCTAGCAATCTAAAAATGTTATTATTGGAAGCGAGATAAACGTTATTTGTTATTTATGAGAAATGTGGAATAATAACTTACATCTCGGATAGCGCTGGTAAGTACGGTAGCTTCAGAGTGTCAGACGTTAATTGGTTTTCGCTTAAATTTCTACAATTCGAAACTGTTTAACATCGACGGACATAATTGGAATTCTATATTTTAATTCATTTATACTATGTAAATTGTGTTAGTAATTATTGGAAACATCGTTTTTCAAGATACAAAAGAATTATGATTCTTATTTGGAAAAATATTCTTTTTGATTTGTACACTTTCGAGTTCGAAACGAAGTACGAAGAGTTCAAATAGAATTTAACGAACATAAATATTATTCAATTTGTTTCAATGCAAATTACACTGTGTTCCTGTGTTGTCAATGACTATACCTTAAAGCACACGTTGATATAGGATTAAACTAGAATTTTCTCTTAGTTTTAATAAGTTATTAATAACAAAGTAGTTAGATTGTTCGCGGTTTAGAAAGAAAGCGTAGGTCAACAGATCAATCTTACATGGAACTTACATGAAACTTAAAGTGCTGCTTCCGTTGAAGTCTGTCAAGTCTGCTACGGTGATTCTATTTTTATTTGCCTTCAAAGACTCCAAATTAATTAAATCGGTAAAGTAACCTGGCAGCAGAGCGCTGATCTTGTTCGTATCTATAATTCTAAATGCACAGATTAATGCCAATGTAATAAACGATTTTTCTCGTATATATACTTACAGCCAAACTAGTTGCGTTAGATTTGCGAAAGCTCCAATTTCTATTTCATGAATGTTAATGCCATCGAGGTACCTAGAAAACAAAACTTTCTGCTATCTGCAACTTTACTTAAATAATTTTCGGTGTTTGCACGTTAGGATTGTCTTGGAAACTTACAGTATGCGCAATTCCCGATATTGTTCAAAAACATTCGTTGGTATACGTTCAATGGAACTGTTGTATATATGTCTAAAAATGTACATTTTACTTAAACTAATAGAAAAGCATCGTAAACATAGGTGATTCATGTAAAATTACTTTTTTAAACAAAGTAATGGCTGTTACATTAGGAATCATTTCTTAACTAAGGTAACACACCTTTCTTCTCTTTGGTACTGTTCTTCGTAAAAAAAGAACAAACGCAAAATAAATGTACATCTATTGTTGTAACAAAAAGATATTCAAAACAGCTATTACATTTAATATTTCTCTAGTGAGATGGCGAAACGTAACATATGCGGTCTTTTTATTTTTATTGTGTAACAATTTTAAAATTATTTTAATGAGAACTTTCTACTTTTAATCATAATTTCGACCAAAATTGAATTTTTTTGCGTTTTGCCATCTGTTACATACATTTCATACTGAGAGTTCGTACATTACAGTGGTTTTAGACGACAAGTTCGACGGTATTTCAGAATATCCATGACAACTAGCACGGCACTGCACATACTCGCATCTGAGAGGAATATCAGTAACCTCTGTGAAAAATGCATAAAGTTCAATATTTCATTTTTCATTGTACCCTGATCTCTTAGTTACATTCGTTACTCAGTATTTTATCCCTGAGTATAGTAAAGTATACAGTTTACCGCAAACGTATTCCCTTACAGGCTCCATTACGATTTCTCTGTTAAGGCCGAAAAACTCCAAACCTCCATTGGCATCGACTGTTCATAATTTAACAAATAAAGTGAGAAATTATTTCGTTAAGTAAAGTAGAAATATTTAACCAGTTAACTGCGCTCGACAAATATACACGTCAACTTAAAACACAAAATGGTACTAATTTTTTCAATAATAAACTATTCAGTTTTTCGGATAAATGTGTAATTCTTCTTCGTTTCGCTGTAGTATTTCGTTAGAATATATTACAGAAATATTTGCTCTACGTTTGACAAATATACACTTTATTATTTGATTTTATTGCGCGCACAATGAGAGATTTTTCATACTAAATTCCTCAGTTAACTGGTTAAATATGTATTATGACACAGGGACCTACAGCAATTTTTTTCATCGTCGCCATAAGGACAGTCCATTACTAGGTTGCACCAATTCCTTTGGGGTAAGCATAAAGTGCTGTTATGACAAAGGGAACTTCCCAAAGGACATGTGTCTGTAATTAGGAACACACAATCTATAAAGAAGTGCTTTTATTATTTCAAGGCAGCAACATTGAATTCAATAAACTGTTGCCAAAGTTCCACGTAACTGGTTAGAAGAATGAACGTTTGTTAAGAGCAATATTATATTGTCAGAGATGAAATCGTATTAACCAGAATTGGATAGAATTGACGGAATTGTTTAAAGATAATTTGAATTAGATTATATTTTCCAAACAAGAAAGTGTGCTTTATTACAGCCGAGTAATTGATTAATCATTCAATTTCCTCGTTTTCTCCGTTGTAACGTGACTCCCTCGTTCTAATTGATCAATTGCTTTCTCCTCTTTCTTTTATTATTCGAAAGGTCTGTACTATGAACGTACTTATGTGTATATGAATTTCAATCGCAAGTTACATGCTCTGAATAGTTTGCGATGAATATTTTAAGCATAATGAAGGATATTAAGAGCACTCTGAAATCAACGTGAATTTCAAAAATGGAATGAATATTGTTTATAAATCATTTATGTACTTTATACCATAATTTTACTATATTGTTGGGGCATTTTAATGAAATCAGTGAAAAACTCATTTAGCAATTAATTAATACTAATAGTGGTTAAAAGTAAGTAATTATAACTAATAAAGTTTAAGTGATCATCGAAACTTAAAGAAATGAAGTTCACACTGCATTAAAGAATCTTTCGATATACAATAAATTATTATAAATAAACAACGATATCAATAATAAGCTGTTTTCTTGTTACAGTGACAGTCATCAACTTAACATCACTGAATTGGTGCCATTAAATATGTAAAGTATTAATTTCAATTTATATCAAACAGTGTGTGTATTCATATGTAAATATTTCCCAATGTTTATTTACAAGAGAACAAAAAACTGATGTGTTACTGTTTACAAACATTCTTCACCATTCTTATCAAGAATGGCACAAACCGTTGAATTCAACCGATATTACAGTCTCACTCACAACTACTAAACTACTCCACTAGTAAACTTAAAAAGCCAAATCCTTATAACAAGCTCAATACACCTACTGAAAAAAGTAACAATTCTGTTTCACCAAATTACATATTCCTACATGTATATTAACACTATTTCTACCGAAAGTATCTAAAAACAACTTTTGAAATTTTAACTTAAATTTATTTTCTCAATTTAATCATTTTTCCTCGATTGAATTTTGTAGATTTCCTATAGTTAAGTTTATAACCGTTATTGGAAGAGTCGAAAAGTCAGCTAATACACGACTAAGCTTGGAAAACAACTTTAAGTTAAACTTTTAAAATGTGTCTTTTGACACCTTCGGTAAAAACAGTGTAATTCATTTCTTTGTAATTCATCGAATATATCGCATAAAAAATAGCGGAGTAATTCTGACTACCTCGAGCAAATCACGTACCTTGATTAAAATAATACATGAGCCCCGAAAGCAAGCATACGGAGGTGATCAAAGATGCCCCGATCACGCCGATGCACTTATATCTCATGTTGAATCGGAAATATTTGTTCCCTTGGCAAAATCTTCAGAGCGATCTTGGAACGGCACCGATCCGACCGGCTTTCGTGCTTTCTTCAAATGAACAATGTTCCCCACGTGTACTCGGTGCAACGACTGCTTGACACTGATTACGTTCGCCGGCACGTTGCAAGCTCCGCCGCCACGCACACGCGCTCTCCATCGTCCTCGAACGAGGATTCCTTGTCCGTTTGTTGGTTGGAATTCTATTCGGAATTTACATCGATCAATTATTCTTATCTTGACGATCTCATTAATACAGATAGACGTCTCTGATTGGAGCGGATATCTCGCGGCGAGACAGCAAAGACGATAGATCTGACACGGATGAAGAAAATGAATATTCCCCGTGAAAATTTTCAATTTTATTTTACCAGAGCCTCGTCTGGAATTCAGTTTGTAGTCCGTCGTGCGATTTACATGTAAATGCTTAACATTTATAATATTGGGCTGATCAAAGAACGATTTTTGTTTCTACGGTGCCATTAATAATAATTCTTTAAACACCGCCATGTTGTATCTGTATGGCTGAAGGTCGTTACTGTATACAAGTACGTTTATTATTAAACTTAACCTTTTATTGAAAAAAGAATGAAGGGAATAGAATTTGTTCTGTCACATGTTTTCGAGATAAAATTATATTTTATGTGGAAAGTGTTTTTAACATACAATAATACGTTTAATATATAATAATAACTCCTGTACGGAGTTTAAATGAAGACATACACGATTTATAAATTAATAAGCGGATAACAAGTCTTCGAACTCGTTATCGACGTCACTTTTAAGCAATCTTTTATAATAGTATATTTAGCAAAAAGTTCTGTTCCTGATAACCACTTACAGTTGATGTAACATTGATGGATATCAAAGGAACGAATTAAATAATTTAACTTACATTTTATAATATTCCCCGAGTACGGATAAATGTAATTTCCCTTGCAACGTTCGCAGAAATTCAAGCACAACGTAGCTCGCGTGTCGGTCTTGAAAAGAGAACTACAGTCAGGCCGCCAAAATATAATCTAGACTTCGCCTGCAAGCCCGTAAAATTAAAGTTCCGAATTCTCAATCACGAAGTTACCAATAATTGCTTCCAAAAGTTTTTTATTCCCCGAGTTTGTAGACAGCGGTTCCGCAGCAAACTGTATGCGTGCAGTCTCTGTGAGATTCCCATAACATTCCAAAGAATTCGCACCGATGGCGTGACTATCTCGACGCTTCACTAAAGCTTGCAACAGACTGTAAGATTACGCATTAATACGGAACTAGTATCGATTGTGCGCTGGCGAAAATTTCGTCGAACTTTCTTTTGGGGTTTCAGTCGAAGAAAATCTGTCGGTAGGGAAACTTTGGCAAGTAGAATATCGATAACCACAATATACATATACTGAATTCATCTGTATAAATAAAAAAGTAACTTACAATGTACTCCATTTGGAGAATGTAAATAATTCTTGATTACACAATTATTATGAAAATCGTGTTAGAACCATATTACAGAAACCTCAATATGTAACTGTCAACTCGACATTTTGTCAAATAGAAACAGAAATTTGAACGGATAGAAAAAGAAAATGTAACGTTTTTCGGTCTAGAATAAATATGTAAACGGTGCGACGAATACTGAAGGAAAAAGACTACCTTTCGTGGCGGCAGCCATGTCTTTGACAATTCCCTGGCTGAAGAAACTGGTATCGCTAAGTGTAGAGTTATTCTACGACAAGAGCGTGCTGTCATGGAGTAAACGTCTTCTAAGCTTATCCGGTCTCTGGCCAAATAATCGGAACGACGTTCGGTTCTTCTTCTACATTACGTACGTCATGATATTCACTTGGCTGGAGATCGTGACGCTATTGCAGAACATACACGACCTTGAGAAGACGTTGAAAAATATAACGCTATCGTTCCCGACCATCTTGATAGTACTGAAGGCCACGATGTTTCGGTTGAACATGCATCTCGTGTTACCTTTGCTGGCAGTCGTGAAGAGGGATGTAGAGCAGGGCTTGTATCAGTCGCCGGAAGAACGGCGAACGGTGGTATGGTACAATGTAGCCGCCACGTTGTTCTCCACCTCGTCCGCTTTGTCTTTGTTCTTCGTGCCCACGTTGTTCTACGCGAAGCCGATCGTCAGCTGTCTTTTATCGAGTAAGTTGGACTGATGCCTATCTGCCGACTAGATACACCGACCACTGTCTCGAATGAATTATAGAAAATAATCCTTTCACTGATAGAGAGAAATTTCGTAATAATAACGTTATATACGTATGTTAAAATATTTGTGATGAAATGTTTGGCATCACAGATGTTAAAACGCAAAACAGTACTAACTTTTTCAGCGATAAATTACTTATTTTTCAGATAAACGTGTAATTCTTCTTTGTTTCATTATAGTTTTTCATTAGAATATATTACAGATTTATTTATCCTGGAGTTGACAGGAATACACCTTATTATTTGATTTTATTGCGCGTACAATGAGAGATTTTTCAAATGAAATTCCACAGTTAATTGGTTATGTTAATTTTCGTGTCTTATTAATTCTTTTTTAATTCAGCTTGTCATTCGAAAGTAATGGAAAACCATCAAGCCTCGATATCATATGTTGAAAGATTTACTAAAATTCTGGATAAAACAAAAGTTTTATTAATATTTATGGAAGTATTTAAAGTTTGTACTTGTATTCTTGTTGAAAATGGCTAAAATCTGTATTGTGAACGTTTGAATATTTAGACATATAAATTATTCATTATTCTAAACTACATTCAATGACAGTATCTCTTTTGATATAAAATTACCCAAATTATATTGCAATAATAAAGCCGAGAGGCAAAATAAAAATGACCAAGCCGGAGCATGGTATTCCCATAAAACGTCCTCACTGCAAGAAGCTGCAACTTTGAGAACTTAATTTTCAGCCTCGTGTTTCCACCGTGGTGTTTCATGAAACCGCGAAATGACGACGCGTCACGTGACTTGTACTTGCTTACCAAACAAAGTAGTAAAAGTCCCGGTTTTATTGAGCTCGTCGCTGTTATCAGACCGTTAGCGGTGCGCAAGCGGGATAAATCAAGATCTTAATGCGAATTTTTATCAGTTGAATCCTGTAAAAAAAATATTCCATGCTCATATGATCGCGCATACAGTTACCTTCTGCACGCAGTTTTATGGTATTCCAAGGTGACAGTTACTTCCTTCACGATACACAAACGGTTACGTTTTATAAGGCTGTCACAGTTCGGCGAAGATTTTGAACGACCACCGACGGTGTGACTTTTCTCGCGGCCGATCTTCTCAACGTGTCTTTCTGTGCTGTTATTTATTTACTAGACATGACACCACATTGTTGCCACTTCCTTTTCAAACAATCGTACAAAAAATCACTCTGGCATTAATAGACTACAGATACTTATATAAATATGTATTTTTACAAAATTATTTTAGAAAATTTGGTATAAAACAAATATTTATTTTCCTATTCAAAGAGTTTAACAAATTATGAACTAAAATTTTTATCTACTTTTATTAAACTTTTATTGTACCTAAACGTGCATACTATTAATAAATAAAATTAATAATTTAAGTCTTCTATTCATTCTTTGCTACGAATAATTTATTGGATTGTAATTTATGATACGGTAATGCTCGCATAGATTCCACAATTTCGGCAGTGAAATATAACCGAGCAGATCAAACAGGGAGAAGCTATTTGCTTCCAGGAATTAACTCGAGCACAGCCTGACGAAGACAAAGAATCGATATAATGAGCGGAAACGAGGTAGACACAGTCCGTTAAGCATCGGAGGTCGAGGCACGGGACTTCAAAACGGTGCCGCACGCGTCAAATATAAACATGCAATGAAGCAAATTTCAATTGCAATAATTTTAATCTTACCTTCCCAAATGTAGTATAAAACTAGACCGATTTACGTCGTGTTTGGGCTCATTTTAATCAGAAGAATCTCAACATACCATCGGTACTACGATTGAGAAGGTAAAGTTAAAATGATTGCAATTGAAATATACTTAATTGCATGTTTATACATCTCTTTGGCCTGTGTCTATCTCTCTTCCCCTCATTATATTCATTTTCTGTCTCTGTCTACTGGGATCATGTTACACCGAGTTCAAGACAGTGAGTAGTGGGGGAAGGGTAGAGATGGTGCCGCGAAATTAAGCCGAGCAGATTTCTGTAGAATTTATGCGAGCATCACTGTATTGTCATTCTTATATTTCTCTTACATTTGTACAGTATTTTATAGAAGTATTTTACAAAAGTATTTTAAATCGTTTAATTTTATTTTAAAAGTGAAATTTGATACAAATATAAGATAAGCACATAATAAAGTATAAAACAATGTACTAACCAGTACTAACCAGTCAAATTTCGATCATAAATAGGTTTCAACAATTGTACTCTTCCTTACGAATTGCCTATGAGGGTGAATGGAATTTATGAGGTAACAGAAATGCACACGTATGTGTTGTTCTGCATTTATTTAGTACCTGCGAGTACGTTACTGACTATCGGTGCAACTGGCGCGGATAGTCTTCTGGTAACGCTGACATTTCACCTGTGTAGTCAACTCTCAATTCTGTCGCAACGTATAAGAAACATTGATATCGAACCGCAAAAGCATTTATTAAAAATGCGGGCACTCGTTGACCGACACATTGAACTTTTGCGGTGAGCTGTTTAAACTTATGTTATTTAAAGTACAATGGAATACCATTCAATACATTTATTTCTTTCTCGTAATTATAGGTTGGCAGCCATCTTGGCAAAAACGTTCAGTACGCTCATGTTTGTACAGACATTAGGTTTGATATTTTCCTTGTGCATTGTGATCTACCAATTGCTAATGGTAATGTTACAATTCTTCCAAATGTTAAAATGCAACATTTATGACGATATAATGCATTTAATTAATTTATTTCTGTAAAGATTTAACTTTATTATTATGATTAATCGTATTGGTTTTTTAGAATATTTATGGAACATTATATCATCATTATCAAACTAACAGACAACAAGAAAAAAAACAGAAATTTTTCTTCTATTTTACATTTTTTTATTTATTTAAAATTATTGGAAACATAATTAATGGTATTCTATACAAATGCTTGATGGTTTAGGCAATTTAATTGTATCGATGTTTTATAGACAAGTGAGTCCGGCGAAGACGTGAACACGATACATTTTATTATTTATTCCTGTGCAGTCATATTATTAGCATTTTGCTACTGCTTTCTAGGAGAATGTCTAATTATGGAGGTAATTAAATTTAGAATGGTACTACCATATACATTAAAACTGAATTATTATTTTATTTCATTTCTTTCATGTAACAATCTTTAAATAATAGATATAATTAGTAATTTGAAAATGTTGTTAAATGAAGTAGCGATTAATTTAAAAAAATGTTCATTATAAAAAGCATTACTGTTTTCAGAGCAGTGAAATACAATTATCCTGTTACTTTACGAACTGGTACGATTTACCAGAAGAATATGCGCGTTCTTTAATGTTTTGCATCGCTAGGTCCCAGAAGCCATTGTATTTAACCGCTGGAAAGTTCTACGTATTTTCGTTAGAAACGTTCGGCACTGTGAGTTTTCGTAGCATTAATTAACAAAACTTATCGTAAGCTTTTCAAGCAGTAATAATGCAAATATATATGCATATTTTATTCTAGATAATGAAAGCATCGATGGCATATCTTTCTGTCATGAAAAATATTATTTAAATTCTTGATAAACGTATCCATTAAATACATACAATATTATTATAATTCCAATTATTATATTTATTTTTACATTTTCTTTCCGCTTATTACACGTTTCGTAAAAATATGATATACCAGTGACAAAAAACTGGATAGGGAGAAAGAAATAAAGCCAACAACTGCAAAGCAGTATGACGCATTGTTGAGATACTGTAAGTACTACTACACTTAACTTTTACCATACCCATTCCATTTAATTAGAAATTGTTGAACCAATGAATATAAATCCCGCTGTATTAAAAAAAAATCTACGCAACTCTTTGCACTCCAGAAGTGCTGATCAGTCGTCAATTAATTTGACACAGTAAAATTGTAAAGTTTGACATATAATATTAAACTTCGTCTAATGCATCAATATTTGAAATATTGAAATAAAATAGTTTCGTTCCTCAATTTATGTGTGATTTCTCGTCAAGTTAGTTTCTGAAAATGTCGTTTTTATCTCATTAGAAAGTGTTGAATATTTCCAGTGAAATACTTCTGGAATACAAAGGGTTAACACTAAATTAATCCAAGTTTATTCAATACTTCAAAATATTCTTCCTTCACTGTTCCACTAATCATCAAACATACATCATCGACAACACGTCATCCTGCCGATACGTCGCTGGTCGTCCTGTATTTGGCTGAAGGAATTAAAAGAATTTATTTCGGTTTATTCAAGAAAGATACAGAGTGTACAGCTGCCGGGCATACAAATTATGCATAAATTTCGTGACTCCCAGTAAATAATCACCCCTATTGCAACATCGTAGCACGCTGGACACTGTCATCATTATCACTTTACAACGACCGTGATCCCACGAATGGAGTTGACAGTTAACGCGCGTACGGCCCTCGCGATACACCTTCGCGTCGCGCTCCTGCGCCCTACATCGATATACTTCCGGTAGCAGGAACTTAAATAAAAGGACTGCAAGACTTTCCCGTGTCTTGCCGACGCCACTGAGACACGTCCGTCGTTCAACACGCGTTTCGTATCGTACAAGACTATACGACAATGAGCATACAATCGCGGGATATTGAATATAAGTGCCAGGTGGTACGGAATGAGTTTTCAGAAGTGGTTCTTGAACATTTATATTAGCAACGTAAGTACTGTTTTTTTTCAGATATTTAAATCAGACTTGAAAATCCGCAGTGTCACTTTTGCTGCTTGCACCGCATGCTTAACTGTCAACGGTACGAGTCCCTAGAACACTGCATCAAAAATCAATAATTATTTTTAATTCGATGGAAGCATTTGAAATTACTATGGTCTCCATTTCAGCAATAGTTATAGGAACAGATTTATCCATTAATGGTGTCTCGTTGTCCTTTGAATTTGCATATCACAGAGATGTTTCTACAAAACTGAGTTGGCGTAAAAGTTTTCGACGATAAGGTGTTCGTATTATGATATTCAAAGAAACACTGTAAACAATATGTTTAAAAAGCTTTTCAGCCAATCCAATATTTAGAAAAATCTTTCCGCGTATCAAGTTATTCGTTACACGATGAACAAAGTGTTTCAAACTACATCTAAAAATTCAATCCGTGCCACCGGTATTTGCACCCAGAAAACCGTTCGGTGTATCGCGACACTTGACGCTGTACAAGCATATAAACACATGGTAATGTATTCGATGCCTTTTTATTATCATCCGGACAAATGACTCACGTTCACATGTTAACACGCAGCCACGGATTCATTCGCGGTTACTTCCACATGTTCCAATATAAAATCGTGCGTCGCAACGTGTACCCGGTCTCTCGTACATGAATATTCGGTGTGGGTGTGCGAGTGTAACGTGATTGCGGTTTCGTCTGTGTCTCTGTGTGTATGTGTATATTTGTATCTTTCTCCGTGTAACTGACCGATAAATATGGAAGAGTATTCCGGTTCACCGACGTCGTTTCCTATCAGAAATCATTGTAACAAGGTGTAATACAGAGCAATGTCCGGCACCGACCGGCAACCGATCGATTGCGAAATTTCGGAACTGTATACTCTCTCAATGAAAACACTTGCTGTCTCCCGAAATGTTCAGCCTTGCTTTCAGCACCTTATTTTTACGAGTTTTTCGATTTTTTTTTGTTCATTCGCTTGCTTGTTGTTAACTATTCCTCTTTTTCGTTTCTTTTCTCTGGTTTCGTCTTTTTTTCTTTGTTTTATTGTACAAGAGGGTATGCCATGGGCGATATTCACCGTTTCGTTAATCATTATCGTTTACTGTAGCGGCTCGGGAACGCCGCACCGACGACAAGAACGGTGCGACGTTCTCGAGGATAGGTCAAGGAAACAAAACTGTGCTATAGACATGTCTTCCGGATATTACGTGAACAACGTGTAATAAAAAGTTTGAGTGCACAAATCTCGTTTCTTACTGTTTTTCACCTCGTTAACATTTGCATTGAATTCAGGAAAGAACGTGGTATCTTATACATGAGGTTGATCTTGATGTTCACTGTTTATTGTATTTTTATGGTTATGTGTGTTTGTATGTGTGTATGCGCGTGAGCATGAATCGTCACAAGTCTTTGATTGTATCCTTCCTTAACAATCGGTTTATATATATAACTTGGTTTTGTTTTATAGATAATTTTAGTAATAGAAAATTAAATAATAGCGATAGCGAGTGAATTATCAACGATATAATAGGTATTATTATATTATAATTATAGTAATAAGTAAATCATAGGGGAATAAAATATCGAGACTTATGATATGAATAATAACATGAAAATACTGTGTACATATACTTTATAGAACCCCCGATAAATATCGTAAACTAAAAAATAATAAGTATGTTCAAGTTGATTTGGAATTTATAATTATTCTCCGTGAAAGTAACATATTGTTTACTGCATGAACCGAGCAAAACGTTTTACCTGACTTTTCATACCATGTCTACATCTCGACTCACTTCAAACGAAAGTGTTTCGATCTGAAAAATTATTGGACTAGAAAAAGTACAAAATCAACTTAAGTTTTGCTGAATCTAAAATACAGGTGTTATGCACTGTTTGGGCCCGTGAAAGTGTATCTTTTATCAAAACTTTGCACTGAAATCTATAAAATGGTGTATTGCACGAAATAAACACAATTTAAATGCTGAATAAAATTTTCCCGTAGAAACAAAACTAATGATTATAGTTGGAACCTAAAAAGAAAATTCTGATTTATGAATTGTATTGCGATTACAACTGAACGAACGATTTATCTGGAACACGGAATAAATAATATTCGCAAGATATATTCAATCACGGGTGTCCATTGCAAAAGAAATACGTTTATTAAGACCACGAAAAGATCGTTGTTTACACGATAGAAGTTGGATCGGTGGTACGTAACTTAAATTTGTAAAAAGTATTCACGGTTGCGAGGTCGAGATTCAACGTTACGCTGATACTCTTAACAAAATAACAACACACGAATAAGACAGTAAATTATAACGCAAAGAAGTAATTTACTGACGGACCTTAGTTTCTCGATTGATACAGTGCATTCTACAATACTGTAAACATCAAGAGAAAATTAATACACCAGCGCTAGTAATAAATCGAGTTCTGAAACGAAAGAAGCTATTATCCCGGAAAGTGACAAATATGTACAACGAAATGGTCCCTAACCATTGAAAAGTATTAACTACAGTATTCGCAGAGTATTGTGACGAGCCTTAACTTCTCTGATACAAAGATTCAACACAACAAGTGAACGCTGATAAGCGTCTAACACAAACCGTGGAATACAATGAGTCAAAGTATAATGATAATTATTTCATCGTATGAGGTGAACAAAACAAAAAAAAAGAACTATACAATTTATGGTGTATATGATTTTCGCGTGTATATCGATTTCAATGCTTTGTACATGTACAAAAAAAACGTGTTCGTATATAGAATTTGATTTCACGACACCTTACCCTGCAAATACTTAGTTTCACGTTATGATGCACAATGTATGATGACTTTGCCATTCAAATCATTATGAAGAGTTAAAGTCATTGGTACATTGTGTATTATTTGCTTTGATATCTGTGTTAAAAAGTGAACATCAAATACCTCGAGATATTCGATGGATCGATATGCCTTTAACACAAAGATAATTAACAGGAAGGAAAAACAGAGTCAGGAATATAAGGAGGAGTACTGTATAACTGAAGGGGACTGAAGGCAGTCGAACACCTGAAATCACTCACCAACAGGTGATACAGATGGTTTGAATAATCCAGATGCCAGTCCCTTGTTGCATCGTTAAAGCTATAACGTTCGTTTCTGTGGATAAAAACTAAAAAGCGACTACAATACGATAACTCATTTTACGTAATATGATCGTCAACATATAGTCAATGGCTTCATTAGGAAGTGTTTCATTTACAAAATGGAGGGTACTTTGCTAGAAGTGATCACCGAATGAGCGCACATTATTCAACGTCACTTGTTTCCCCTTTATTTGCAAATGAAACATTATATCTCTTATGCCAGTGCCGGTGATTTTCATTGATTACCCGATTGGTTACGGATGCGATACAAAACTAAAAGAAAAAGAAAGAATCTTAAGTATAACAATATCATATGCATCTTGAATTGAGCTCCATTTAGTAAATGTTATTCTAATAATTCGTTTAGCGGAGACATTATAAATAATATTAAGTAATGTTATAAATATGTACTAAATAATTGAAGCAAGTAAAATATACTACCATGTTATGATTACACAGTTACTTAAACAACTCAAAGGCAAACCGTTTTCATATAATTTACACCGACACGTGAATAACGTTTCGCACGAATTATTTACAACTTAGTATACTTATTTCTTTTTTTTTTATACTTTA